TATATATATATATATATATATATATATATATATTTATTTATTTTTTTATCTCTGTCCCTGAACTGTCTAGTGTTTTCCTCGGTCCTCATGACGCCATCTGTTCTCTAGTTTCCACTTTGCAATTATTCACTACTTTGTGAATAATTTGTGTTGGTCTATCCGAATAAAATGCATTGACGGCTGTCATTGTAACATGACAAACTGTGAAGTTAGGGGTATTAATACTCACGGCAATATCTGCTCTTACTGTGTGTTTTGTTTTGCTAGCTGGTCTAATCAGTCTCAGACCAACATATTTGTGTGTCATTGTTCATATTGCTATAATTATGCACATCGATTTCTTCCTCTCTCATCTCCATGCGGTGGAGAATAAACTGAAAATTTGCACACATGAACGTACTTGTTCACCCTAAAGTGTTGCACCATTTCCCTTCCCGTCCTCCAGGTGCTCAGAATAAGTTTGCTAAATTTCTGTTGAGCTGCATGAAGTGCTGCTTCTGGTGTCTGGAGAAATGTATCAGATTCCTGAACCGGAACGCCTACATCATGGTGAGCTGCTGCAACTGGATACTGCTGACTGGTGGCTCTTCTTTCCCAAGAAGTTCACTTCTCGTTATTTTTGTTTTCTCTCTAGATTGCAATCTACGGAAAAAATTTCTGCGCCTCGGCTCGAGACGCCTTCTTCCTTCTCATGAGAAATATTATCAGGTTTGTTTTTCATTCGCTAACCTTCTTAATACAATAATTTCATCCCCGGTACTGCAGCGACATGACAGCGCTGTTAAACTCAACACTGTGTCCACTCTATCGCAGGGTGGCGGTTTTAGATAAAGTGACTGACTTCCTGCTGTTTCTTGGGAAGCTCCTTATTGTTGGCATTGTGGGTAAGGGAGGTTTTTATTAATAGACAAACACTCTGGAGACATCCGTGACATCCAACAGTTCAAATAAACTATTTTTGCTTCTTATCTCTGTGCAGGGATTTTCTCTTTCTTCTTCTTCTCTGGAAGAATAAAAGCTGCAGAGGACGCGGCTCCATCTCTCAACTACTACTGGGTGCCAATACTGGTGAGAACAGTTGTGGGGAAAAAAGCTTAAAAAAAATCGTTAGCATTGTAATAAAGTAGCATCTTTAATAAATTTGAGAAAACTACAATTTATTTACTCATTTATCTTGTGATTCAAGACGTTGTTGGTTTTATTAAATCAACAGAGTAAGTACTGGTACTCCTTTCACGTCCTACAGAATAAATTTGATTAAAATACGTTTACCTTATCTATATTTTACATATTTACTGTATGCACTGACAGCAGAGGAACCAATAACTGTAGTAGCAATGATTATGTTAAAAACAATCATTTCTTAATGCAGTTTTTTTCCCCCACTCAACCTTGCCGTTTTCTCAGAGCGTCAATGTGTCTCACTGCTTGGGGCGGCACAACCCTGAGGTTTTCCTTTTCCTTACCTACATGTCCTGTCGATACACAGTGAGCACCTCAGGGTTGTGCTCTGTTGGGTTGCCAATGTTGTTATCGGAGTTGCACCTTCTGGTTTGGTGCTTCAAAGAAGGCTGTTTCATTGCTTTAAGGAAATTTGGACAGCATTTTATTGTCTCTGGGTCAAAATCTAAATTCCTTAGACTGATTAAACCTTAAATCAATGCACCGCACAGAGACTCTTTAAAATACAGCTTGAGATTTATTAAACCTTTTCTCTATGTCTGAGAGATGCAGCAGTCAGGATGCTTCTGGCTGTGACACAGCGAGGTCTGATTTTTTTTTTTTTTTTATGGACTAGAAAACATAAACATTAAATGGAGAGATTAAAATATTGTCCCCATTTAGACGTCACAGGACTAACATTTATCTTATTTTAACAAAACAAAAAAAATTGCAACAAAGTATGTTCAGAAAAATAAGTTCTTCGTCTTGATGGATTGGAGAAAAAAATGTTGTTTTTTTAGATCCTAGGCAGACTCCATGGTGCTTTCCTAAAACTTCCAGTTTCAAATTAGACTATTGATATAAAAGATTAATTATTTTAATATGTCTAATATGTTTATCAGGGGGTCACTATGTGTAGAGTGCTATGTTTAAGACAGACATAATCCTGAATTTTCAGATATTTTTTTGTTTTTTTTACTTCCTGCTTTTCTCTTTGCAGACGGTAGTAGTGGGATCCTATCTGATTGCCCACGGCTTCTTCAGCGTGTACGCCATGTGTGTGGACACACTCTTCCTGTGTTTCTGTGAGTCAGATAACCAAAGACCTTCTCCTCCCATTGATGAGCTGCTTGTGTTGCCTTCTTGCTGCTCTGTTTCTCACTGCTCTCCTCTTTGTCTCCTGTTAATTTCACTTTCATACATTCCCTCTGCATTTTGCGTTTTCTCCATCCGTTTTCCATTAACCCATTCTGAATCGATGCCACACATCGCCAAAAGGCGAAGACTTGGAAAGGAACGACGGTTCGTCCGAGAGACCTTACTTCATGAGTCCGGAGCTGCACGAGATCCTCTCCAAGACCAGGAAGGTGGAGGACGAGTGTGACGGTGTCGAGGCGGCGGACGCTGCCAAACAAGCGGACGAGGTAAAGGTGGATGAGGAAACGCCGCTCCAGCAGCAGGACGGCGAGGTTCAGCTGAAACAGCAGACCGTGCTGAAGGAGGAAAATGAGGAAAAGCAGCCTGTGGAGTCCAACACTGAGGACGAGAAGGAGGAGGAGGAACAAGTCAGTCAGGCGGAGGACACTGAGAAAAAAGAAGAGCCAGCTGTGAAGGAAGCTGCAGCAAAGCAGGAAGTGAAAGCAGAGGAAAAGGCAGCGGAGCAGCCGGCTGCAGCTGGGGAAGCTGAGGAAGTGAAGAAAGTGGAAGAAAAAGAGCAACCCAAGGATGATAATCCTCCACCTGCACCACAGGAGTAGATGCAGCAAAGCAAGGGAGGCTCGCTAGACCTCATAAAGCAGAAAGAGTCGAAGTTACGTCCCTCAGCTGTGTGATATGGACCTGTTAAATGTACAACATTCAAGCTAAAGTGTGCGGCTTTGCTGAGACTGAGAGCTGATGTTCCACCTGGAGAAGGCTGGCCGGAGCGAAGGCCGAAGGAGATCGAAAGCCCAGTGCATCTCTGTAGCTTGAAGAAAACACACACACACACACACACACACACACGCAATCCTTTGTGTTGGTTTTAGAACAGTGTTGGTTTCTCTATCGTGAAGGTCTGTAACACATAGTGCGTGCTGAACCCCGTGCCTGATTACCGTCAGTGTTTGTCGTCTCGATCCCATTCGCCGGAAGCGCCACAGAACCGGAACCATGTTTACAGTCAGAACAAACATCTCAATCAACGGTGAATCACTTTCACAGTTTACAGAAGTACCAGCTGATGCCAAAACTTTTCACATTATTTGATACTCTGTAAATACTGGACCTTTTCTTTTATTTATTTATTTTTTTTCTTGATAGGAAACCTTGTGTATATATATGTATGTATATATATATATATATATATATGCATATATGCACTGGTGTGTGTTTATTATGTATCTTTTGGCTTCAGTCTTGTTGAGACTCTCGCTACGATGAGACTCCATATATTGTATCGCCACCTACTTGCCTTGGTATTTTGGACTGGCGTTAAGTGCTGTGATTGTCCGGCCATGATGCAGAAATCATGACCTCTCAGACTCTCTGGACCCCGACCCCAAACCTCCCGGTTGTTTACAGACTCCTCTTCTTGCCTTGCTCTGTCCCTTCCCTGAATCTCTCCGTCTATTAAGTGCTGCATGATATTAACATGGCCTTTTGAATGCTCGCAACTAACATCTTAGGTGTCTGGAAGCTTTTGTACTTCTTCTTCTTGTCTGTCATGCTGTGAAAGCTGTAAGCTGATATTTTTATCCCCCCACTGAAGTCACTGATGACATTCCATATTTACTGGGTGTAATTCCTGATTACAAATACTCGTATTTAATAATTGTAGTTCTGTTATGGGTAAACACGTGAAGAATGATTTGGGTTTGATGGTTGGAAACAGGTGAGTTTTTGGATCCGAGACAAAATGGTGAGTTTCTTTGTCGACAGATGAAATGGCTGACAATTTGACAGAAGTCCATTTAATTGTTTAATTGTCACTTTTTGATTTGTGACTCCCTCCAACAGGATACAAGGTGTATACATTCTGGACTTTGTGTGATTGTAATTTGTGAAAAGGTCTTTAAAATCCCTGAAGAAACATTTGAAAATGGAGCGACTAAATAAATTATTTGAATCTAAATGTCCACTTTTATTTTACCTGCTTACTTTGTCAGATGTTTATATACCAGGATTATATCATAATCCTGGTATATAAACAGGATTATAAAATAATCTTGTCCTTAAAACCCAATAGTTTGGACTTTAACTTTTAAAGAACACTACCAGCTGTCAAGTAGGATGGTGGCAGCGTCATCCTGAGGGTGGGTTTCACTGATGGTCAGATGCAAATGTCAGACATTACTAAAAAAGGAGAGCGTAATGAAAAAGCTGGACTACTTCTTAATTCTTCAACTTCACTTCAAATCACCCCAAATACAAATCGACTGGCTTTTGGTTGGATAGATGGGCACTAGCAAGCTTCTGAAAAGGAATTTCCAAAAAGGCAACGATTAAGAATTTATGGAATATTCTGGAAACCTAACAATTTAAATGGATTTTTCTATCCATTCTGCAAAATATTCAGCCAAAGGTCTGGAGAAGATATTGGCTCATGGCTAGTTTTGTGTCTTTCTACATAATATAGACCATGTGTAAATTGGGGGGGGGGGATCACAATAAATTCCAACTTGCGCTCTCAATTCTCTTTTCAAAAATCTTCATTCAGTTCACCAGTAGTGGATTAAACCCACTTTTGCCTGCTAAGCTCCCTTCATTGTTCATTGCATAGATTCAATGTGATGTCAGAAATAATATTCCTCAATGAAATTTGGCCTGTATTGACCTCATCACTTGCTGGCTGCACATCCGTGATCAAATCTGTTCTACCACACCCCAAAGTTGCCATATCGGATTGGTATCTGGTGACTGTGGAGCCCCTGGAGCACAGGGATATCATTGCCACGTTCATGAAACCAGTTTGCGATGATTTAAGCTTGGTGACACGATGTTTTATCCAGCTGGAAGTTGCCATCAGAATATGGGTGGTTATAAAGTGATGGACTTTGTCAGTGACAACATTGAGGGGTGGAGGGTTTACACCAATGTCAATGCTTTGGTCAGACTCAATAAAGGCTCCCACTGTCCCATCTGAATACCCGGCAAGTAGACTTTACCACTTTTAGATTGCCAAAGTGCACGGAGTTAAAACATAGGTTCACATATGACTTTGGAAGCCCAAAATGAATAAGAATACATTAACTTCTAATCAAAACTGTAGGTTAAATTGGAATCGGTGTCAGGAAAACGTTTTTAACTTCTATTTCCGTTTATCACAGTGGAAGACCTGGAACGCAACGATGGATCAGCCGAGAGGCCCTACTTCATGTCACAAAATCTCCTCGATGTCATGAAAAAGTCTAACGACACACCCAAATCTGTCGACTAACTCCCTATGTGTGTGTCTGTAAATCACTGTGCCATTTCATTTGATTGTTTCCAAGTATAAACGAGGAGACTTTTTTTTTCTTCCTTTTTAACATGTTGAAAACTTCATACTGTTGATGAGAAATTGCCAACACAGGCAACTTTAAGTACATAAGTTTGGGAATTATGTTTGCTAATTTAAGTGCAACAGAATGCTGAAATGCCTTGTTTTATAAATGTCATATGTTTTATTCTTACTTTTCTGTTAATTTTATTCCGACACTCAAAGAGCATGGAAACTTTTAGAGGTCAGACAGAGAAAACTTTAGATTTACAAGCTTAACCAAATAAATTGCACTGTTTCAAATTAATTCACCAAAGTGGTAGAAAAGCCATTAAGAGATTATGAATAGCCCAAGTGCTTTAAGCTTGATACTACACTTATTTTTTTATATTGCTGTTTTTAATGTCTCACTGACTATGTAACATTTTTATTGTGATAATTTTGACTTTATTGCCTGTCTTTTGTTGATAAATGTTTGTTTTTATTGTAAGTTTTGGAAATGGAATGGAAAACTCTCCAGTTTGTAAGATTTGTGGTAAACAAGATTGTTTTCTCATAAGCGATTTTTTTTTTGTTTGCTTGTTTTTTTTTTTTATACATCAGAAAAAAAAATTAAATTGTGAAAAATGTATGCAATTAGTAGCTATTAAAATTTCTGAAACCTGAAAACATTAAGTTGTTTGGAGGCAAATCATTTACAAAGAGATGCTAAACAGCTCATTTTGTGTTGGCTCCATTGTTTTTTAACAACAAAAAACTTCATCAAAGCTCATTTATCTTAACAATTCAACTTTACCAGAGCTTTTTTGTTTCATATTAGACAGTTTGTTGTATAAAAGCTTTTTTCAACCAGTCCTGGACTCTGGGGACACCCATTCTTTATTCTCTAAACTTGGCTGAATACAGTAAGGGCTTTTGAAGAAACAACTAATGTCTTGTTCCTGCTGTTGAGCATAGATTAAGGAATATTTCTGTTCTTAGTGCTTTTTACAGCACAGAGGAGACCATCACTTATCTTTTTTGGGACTGTATCATCATCATCATCATCGTCATAGTCTTCATCATCAACCACAACGTCATTTATAAAGCGCTTTAACGCCAGCCACACCTGGAACAAATTTATTTTGGGAAGACACGTTCTTGTTTGTAAAAAAAAAAAAAAAGGACGTTTAATAAGGACCTACCGTTTCATTCTGTTTTTTTTTTTTGTATGAATCCTCCAATTAAAAAAAAGTTTGTTGCTGTACATTTTTAGTAACAGATATCCACAGCTTTACATTTCCTGAACCAAGACCCAAAACTACCTATATATCTAACTATTAATCCACTTTATTTATCAATGCGAAAGCCCAAGACGTTTTGCCTTGAATTTCAATTGTAACCCGCCGAAGTTATATTATATTTTTGGGCCTACGTGCATACTTTGGTGCTTGTTGCTAGGATTTGTTGTACATATTCTGTTTAAATAAAGGTTGGGGGGGAGGGGGGTGAACGCAGTCTTCGTTTACACGTTGCTAAGCAACAGTACAGCCCTCTGAAGCCGCTTCGAGTTGAGTAAACTCCCACAGTTTTTACAAACTAGGTCCAAAATTAGCGTTCAAAAATGTTGTCTTTTGGTCCAAACGTGAGACTGTCACTGCAGGAACAGAAAGCGGAGCTTCAAGATAAAATTCAGCTGCTGGGTAAGTTTGTGACTTAACTGACGGTTTTGGGTTTTCAGCTGTTTTCATGTTTGGTACTAACGCTGCTAGCTTACATTGACGTCTTACTTTTAATTAGGCTAACTTAAAACGTGAATGACTACAGTGCTTACATTTCTTTGTTGCTGCTATTATTAAATGTGTCCACTAGAGTGCGAAGGGACTGCATTTTATGAGCGTTCTCAGTCCGTTATCAAGAAGAACCATGAGATCATCCTCCAACTGAGGCCGGCGAACCAGAAGCTGCACAAAGAACTGGCGCAGGTCATCCTTTCACTAAGATGTATCCTATTCATCAGCCTTAAACATAAATTCACTTGTTCTTTTCAGTGATTATGTTGTGTTACTGAGAGACTATATCTTAATAAATAATCGTTTTTTCATTGTATTTCTTTCATTTGTGCTAATTTCTAGGTTAGTTATCCAGAAGTACAATGTCAGCCATTTGATTTCAGTTTTATTTACCAATCAATACAGGGAACTCAGCAAGCATCTGGAAAAAGTTGCTAAACTAAAACTGAACTTTTTGACAATGAACATCACATCCCTAGCATGAAATAGAGGGAGCAAAAGACTTTAGACCGACATGGTGGTTTACCTTCCGGCAATACAACAACCCTAAGCAAATAGCCAGAGCTACAATGTTAATTTTTTTTTTAGATTAAAGCATATTCATGTGTCAGAACTAATAGACCTAGACAAAGTTGAAACCTATACCCAATCTGTGGACAGACTTGAAAGTGGATGTTTGCAGATGCTCTGATCTCATCCTGACTGAGCTCGAGCTATCGTGCAAAAGAGATGTTGAACAACTTCTACATGTCTCTAGCCAGTTCAGACATACTGTAATGAGACTTGCTGCAACAAACTGTATTAAGGTCGTGCTACAAAGTACTTTGTACTTCACTCATGTAAATTTGTGCAGCATGTGGTTAGAACTAGTTCAAGAAGTGTGGATGCTTGTGCGAATGTATAAAATGCTAATGAAAAATTAAAACAAATTTCTGTGTGTTTTAAATTAGGTTGAGCAACACAACTTGTCAAAAGAGGTGAGAGGCAAAGTTTTTATGTCACTAATAAGTATGCTTGATAGGTGATATTTCTGGTTTCAAAAACATCTAAGAGCTGTTAAATGTTTTAAATTGTGCGTTGTATTTGCCCGTCAAAAACTGATCTCTTTTTTTTTTTTTCTCAGAAAGCAATTTCAAAACTAGAGCAAGAGCTGTTGTTCCGAAGAAGACGTCTCGATGCTCTAGCCCACACCACCCTAAAGTACCAGCAGCGCCTTGATGAGCTTAGAATGGAAGAAGAGAGAAGGAACCAGGATCAGAGCAGGACACCTGCGTCTGCTGTAACTTGGGAGTTTGAGCTAGAGGAAGACGCAATGGTAGTTTACCCTCTGATCTCTAAAAACGTGTCAAGCTTTAAACACTAGCAATGGTTATCGGCTTTTAATCAACTGAACTAGCCGACATTCGTAATGTTCTTTGCGATATTCATTTTGAATACACTGACATTGCAGCTACTGTATATTAACATACTCTTTAGATCTACTAGCGGGATTGTTGCTTGTTTGTGGGCATCTCCTCAGAATTTTCGTATGCTGGAGAACCGTCTGGATAAATTTCAGTTCAAGTGCAAGGAGGCTGAAAAATGCAGGAAGATCAATGTGAAGCTCAAGGCACAGATGCAGGTAGGCAGATGATGATGCGCCTTCTTAACGACACACTCTCTGTTTCGCCCTGTTTACATGCAGTTGGTCGTTTTTGACAGCGATCCTCATTAGCTGGAAAAGACACGGTAGGGAAAAAAGCTGCGCAACCGACCTGACCCTACGTGAGAAAGTAATTGCACCATTGGCAACAATAACATAGCAACAAAAGTACCACTCTGGAGTTGACGCTATGACCAGGGAAGTGAGGCCTGCAGTTTCTTAGATATTCTTGGTTCCTTTGTTATCTCCTGGATACATCACCTGTGACCTAAAGTGGGTCACTCCCACTTATCAGGTGTATTATTATTATTTGCATTTAAAGCTATAAAAATGTTATTTATACAACTTTGTTTCTCATTTATTCATGAATTTCTTGCAATCGGGGTGTGAGGGATTACTCACACTCCGTAAGATATTTTAGCCTACTTCATGTTTCCAACCAGGTTCTATTTAAGTGATTTCTTGTTTCTACAAGTCAAGTATTAATCTATTCAGTTTGAGTCAAGTAAACACATTCATTCGTGATTTAATAAGGACAGGATTTCACAAAGGGCCATAGCTTTTTTTTTTTTTTTCCAAATTAATGAGATCATTATTTAAAGACGGCGTTTTGCATTTATTCTGGTTGTTGTACGGTATCAAAATATATTTGATCTGGAACACCTGAGTGTGAGAAAAAAGCAGAAACATAGGAAACCTATAGGGTGTGACAAATAGTCCCTTATGAGTTACCTGCTTGACTGTAAGCTCATTCGTTCATTGTTTGGTCTGCGGTTCATTTTTGTTAAGACTTTAATCATTGCAACAAAGGATGGGTAATGTGCCGCTCTGGAGAGCAAAGAGGTGCTTTTAACATAGGACTAGTTGCTAAAGGTGAAAGACCACAGTAGTACAGTACTTTCTGACCCAGTTTGTTGATTATCTGTCTGAATAATAAAAATGCATAGTCACCACAGTAACACCGTGTTCTGTAAATAATACCATCTACACTCCCTGAGCGGCTTTGTCAGCACCACAATACATGAGGAGCTGATACGTCCAGAGCAGGGAGGCTGAATTCCTGTGCTTGAAATGAACTCTAATACATTATTTTATGCCAATAAGATGTTTCATCGTCTTTTTCTATTCAAACTTCTCATGTCAAGCTTTTAACTTCCTGTCTGGTGTTTGGGGATGTTCCTTCAATATTTCCACATTATGTTCTTTTCTCAGGATCCCGTCTATTTTCTGAAGTGCACCAGTCCCTCGCAAAGCCGAGCATTTCTCTTTTATTTTCTTGTGACGGCAAACGAGGAAGCTGGATGTTTAAAGTGTTTTCCTAAGACGCGCCCAATGGAGTTCCTCTAAATTAAGCCAATCAGAAGCAAAGCCAGGATCTTATGGGCTTCTGAGCTTAAGAAATTTAAAAAGTTCTCTAATAACTGATTTCTAATCTGACTTTTAGCAAACATTAGCAGTCCTAGCTGATATAAAACAGGCACAATACAGTCTGATTTAATATCAGATAGTGAGAAACAAATACTTTTATGGGTTTTTTTTGTTTGTTTTTCTTTTTTTCAGAGTGAACTATCACAGACTGGGCTTATTCTTATAACAAACCAGATACTTGTTTTAATCTTTATCACAGAGGATGTCGAGCTTTGACTTTATACCAAAGCGATAGTAATTTAAGCTCTTCCTCAGGTGTATTAATATTTCAGTGATATTGTAACAAGTAATTATAGAAATTTATTTTTTTTATTTTATTAACATCAATAACTTTAATACCAAAATTATGCTCCTCACCTGTTGTTATTTAACCTCTTCTGCTGTGGGGTCGTTTTAGTCAACTGTTTGTGTGTGTATTTGAATTAACAAAATTTTCAAAGTCTTTGTTAATTCAAATTATCTCTTAATATTTGAGAGGTTATATTCTATTTTCTGTAATTTTCTGTAAATTGTGGAATTTAATTGACTTGCATATGTTTGTTACTTTTTATCCTTTTTTGTTTTGTAATGATTAGAGGACCTGACTGTTCAAACAAACTGATGAGGTGAAAGCCACTAAGCTATTTATTGGAACTCTAAGAGTTTATACATTCACATTTCACATAAGGAGTATTATTGTTGAGGATTTAACTTGACATGATATGATTTGAGAATGAAGTATGTGATGCTTTCTCCTTTTTTTTTTCATATGTTACCCTCCTTTCTTGCACTTTGTTTCCGTGTGGTTTCACGTGGCTTTTCCATTTCAACCAACCAGGATGAGTTTCGGAGTTACGGAGCACAGATCGACAACTTAGAAAAGGAATTGCTGAAGTACAGACAGGAGCTTCACAACCTGGAGGGCCTAAATATGGAGGCTTACATCTCGAAAACAACTACTGAGGTGAACCACCAAATGTATCTGGAAATATATTAATATATTATTCTCTCTTTGTCCAAAATTTGTTTTTCACCTTGTTTAGGAGTGATGATTTTCTAACATTTATCAAGGTCAGCAAATCCATTTTTGGTCAGATCATTTATGACACATTTTTGCCATGTTGAATTATTTTATTAGCTCCCTGGTCCTGCTTGTTTTTAATCCTTTTAACCGTGTCTCTGTCTGGCGTCCATCAGGCTGAGTTACACCAGCTGGAGGAAGAGCTGTTGAAAGAGCACAAGGAGAGAGAAAGTAACATAGCGAGGTTAAGGCAGAAAGCTGATCAGCGCAAGGTTCAGACTGAAAAGCCTGACAAAAAGGTGAGATGTAAATATTATTTACCTTGGGAGAATGGTCCCATTAAAAGTCATTCACTGATTTAGATTTAGATGCAGATAAGTTTAGGATATATATTTTTAAAAAAGTTACTTGTCATCTAAGCATAAGTGATTTTGGTTTGTCCGCACTAGGGCTGGAGCAATTAATCAAGTTAATTGTGATGAATCAATTATTAAAATAATCATCAACTAATTTAGTAATCAATTAACGGAGCATGCAGGTTCAACAAAAGGCCACTTCCTAAAAGAACAACACTCTCCGACCTGCAATTAATCCAAAACTTTGCCAAAAACATATGCATTTAGCATTTACGATAAAAAAAAAAAAATTCTACCCAGAACTCTTCAAGCGGCATTTTTAGCCTTACCTGATTCAAATTCAGTTTTAAGAAAAAGTCCTATTAACAAACCTCACGATATTCTATTACTAATTGGTTAATCGACAGATTAGTGTTACACTGTGCTGATGCTGAGTCAAGAAGAAAAGGTTGAGCTTTTCACATGTTGTTAGAATATATATTTTTTTATCCTCTGCTACAAATAATCAAGTGTACACGAAAGGAACGCTATGTTGTTGCATTTTAGGTAATAAAATATGTATTTTCTTATTTAAAAAAGACATTTAAATATTTGTCTATTTAGCTATTTTAATATCTAAATGGTAAATGGACTGAACTTATATCTGTATGTTGACCCTGGTTTTCTGCAGGCACAGAGAACAGTTCTGGAGGCAGATGACTTGGATAGCGAGGCCCAGCAAAGCACCAGGATCGTACCTGAAGAAGAGAAAGTCAACCCCATCTATGAGGAGATCTTAAAGAACCTCAAGGAAGCCACCGGAGTCTCAGATTTACAGGTATAAATGTAAAAAACAAAAAAAAACAACAACAACAAAAAAACAGATTCATGCACGCTATTCTTTTAATCTTCCATGTCATCCACGCAGGACGTTGTGGAGCATTTTACCTCAGAGAAGGAGAATTGTGAACGTTTAGAGAATCTGAAGAAACAGAATGAAGAGGCCCTGGAGAAGCTGAAGGAGGAGAAGGAGCTGCTTAGGCAACAGTTTGATAAAATGAAATACTCTGGGGAGGCTAAGCTGTCCAGGTGCAACCGATTCACAAGAGATCCTTCACCTCGTTTATGTTTCTCCTCATTTAAACGACCTGTGCTTGAAAGAGTTTTGTTAAGTGGTTCTTGGTTTTTTCTTTTTATTAGTGAGATAAAGAAGTTGGAGGAGTGTGAGCAGCAGCTGCAGGTTCAGCTACAGAGACGTGACGCAGACGCAGAGCGCCTTGCCAACAACGTGAAGGCCCTCGGCGCCATCCGAGCCGGAGTGGAGCATCTGGCAGGGAAACTGCAGGACATCTCTCTTGTAAATCTCAGATGCCACTCGACTTTTACGTCAACCTTTCGGCTAACGGTGCAGTTAATTTTTGTTCTGATTTTTTGCCTCTTCCAGACGGAGGTCAAACCTTTCAAATCCTCCCCAACTTCAGACGAGTTTGTGCTGGAGCTTTTGAACCAGTGTGGCGCAAAACTGTGGGTCTTACTAGAGGAACTTGAAGGGAAGGACATGGCCTCTGTCATGAAGGAGATAGAAGAAGATGAGGTAAGTGTATGACTACATCACAGAAATAGTCGGCACTTGGGAAACCACTTTTCCTTGTACGAAAATAAACCTGCCTGGCAGTTCCTGAGACTGTTTAAGACAAATCTGTCTGGGAGGAAAATCAGATAAGGCGATGACAAAATTTGATTAGAGCTGCTGATGATGACGCACCGTTGAATCACTCAGGTCTGACTGGTTAGTTTGCCTAAGCTTCCAATTCAGGGACCAGGTTTCGTGTCAAGATTCATAAAACTAGCAGGTTTTTAGTTATTAACGTTAACGCCGTCACAAGGAAAGCTCCACATGCGGCTCTTTTCTGAAGTATTCCTAAGTATCTGTGCCTAAGTTACAAGCTTGTGGTTCCAGAACAGCTTTGTTGTTTTATTCGGTTATAATCAACACGATATCCACAACAAGATCGACACTGGTCCAATAAGTAAATCTGGGTTGATATTAACAACACATGCTTATTTCCGTTTTGTCACCACTTGTGTTTCAGGGATAAGGTTGGCCATGTTTAGTTGTCCTGTCATGTGACAGTGATTGTGATGCAACACAGGATTAAGGCATCTGGGTCGCTTTTACATGGTGTCAGAAATGTCGGGAAATATATATGATATATGTCGTAATAATATCGGCTATTGGATTTAGCTCAAATCTAATATGGGGTCGATTCATATAATTTATCAGGTCATAAGACAGAAAGTTCACGGTACCATTTTGGGGTTGTAACCTTCATTCTTATGTTGTCATTTGTAAGGCACGTTGGATAAAAACATCAACCCAGTCACTAGAGTAAATGAAATCCCATAATTCTCAAAAGATGTATGATACTGAATACTGAATACCAGTTTTCTGTAATGAATAAAGTCTGTTTAGTCTTAAAAAGGCTGCTGTTACAGAAAAAGAAAGCTAAAAACAAATTCAAAACACCTGTTTTTATTTTCCTACTTCAACATTATTTGCAGTTCTACACCACGATTGAAGGGAGGCTTCCCAAGACCAACACCAAAGTGCAACTGCCATACAGACCAGTAAAGGAAATCGGCAAAGAAGGTGGGTTGCAACAATCCACACAACCACACACTCACACACGCACATTCACACACACACACACACACACACACCATGTAAATGTCTCTTTCTGTCCATGCTTGTGTCACAGAGGGTGAAATCAGAGAGGATGAGCTTGACATCATATCACGAGATGCCCTGAAGCGTCAGTCTCAGCTCCTCATTGAAAACAACTTGAGCAAAAAGCCTTGGAAAAAATAAGTCCTGATCCAAAGTAACAAGAGCAACACAAAGTGTTGCACCACTGTGAAGTAGAAGGAAAATGACACGTGGTGAGGCTGTTTTTCCCAAATAAAAATGTGAGAAATGGCGTACTCAGAAGAATATTCTCAAGTCGGATAAGGCTGCATGCATAATTATTGTATGTAAAGGAAAACTAGCACTGTCACAACACACATTCCTCACACAGTGTGAAAAGCGTTGACGTGAGGGTCATAATCATCATGTTCAGCAGAGCCAGAGAAGCTGGTAATGTAGCTAATACATGGCAATCCTCCATACCCTCTAGCGGGTAAACAATAGTTACAGGGGCAGTATTTATGTAAACAAATTAAATGGAGCGTTGCTTTGATTCATTCATGAGAAATCCTTGACTCTCCCATGGCAACCATTTTGCTTGCAGAAACGCATGGTTTCACAAAGCCCCGCCTTTTCCTCGAAGCTCCTCCCCGAAAACGCGGTTTCCATCCGAGTTTTCGCCTCAAAAACCGCCGCTCTCCCACAGCTACCCCAGTCAGCAATGTGAAAACACCTGGTGGGACTGCGATTCTGCTGAGCTTATCATAGGAACTACTTTGAAGGGAAGCGTTGGGAAAAATGTTGAAGACTTAATGGAGAAGGCGCTGAAGGCGGCATGACGGAAAGAGCAAGAGCTGGTTAAAGAGACAGTGGCACAATTTCAAGGCGTTAAATTGCAACGTCAAATTTCTTTTAAGTCAGGTTTGATTTACAACCCAAAGTTGTGTAGTTATATGATTGTGCTATAAAATGCCACTATGTGCATGGAAAATATATAATACTGCCCCTTTAACAAACAACCAAAGGTGCAATAGAATCCTTTATATCCATTGTAAATCTGTTGCAAGACTTGACAAGCACTGTTCACAAACTCTCCACATCTAATCTGTCTGAGCCTGAGCTATTTCACAAAGAAAAAAAGACAGAAATTCAGTTGCAATGCCAGCATTGCAACTGAATTTCTGTCTTTTTGTCTTTTACATATCCCAAAAGATTTGTGGCTATATTTGCAGCAAAGGTGGCTCTACAAAGTATTGACTCTAATGCATGAATGCAAATGCATGCCACATTTTAAAAAATTTTATTATGGTAAAAGTAATTCCAGCTATTCACTAATTTGTGTAGGTGTATCACATTAAATCCCAGTAAATTGCATTGGAGTTTGTGGTTGTAGCGTAAAAACAAAGGAAACATTTCAGGAGTTAAAAAGTTTTTGTGACAATTCAACGTGTTAAACATGCCTCAGTTGCTATAAATACTAAAAAAGTCTAACAAAAATGATTAATGTCTCATTGTACATGTCGGCATCGTCACAGAAAATCAGGTGATCCTCATTAAATGATCCGTGTGTGTGTGTGTTGTCGTGTCAGTTTTGTTTTGACAACAGCCATGTGCTGCTGAGGGTGTTGCACCAACACAGATAACTTCCACCTATCACCAGGCAACATTTCTGCCTCCTGGGAGTCAACGACAGAAGGTTGCTCCGACTTATGAATCCTTTCACGGTGAATAGAGTCAAGTTTCGAGGACGTTTTTGTCCTTTTTTGTGCTTCTAGTGACTGAAACCAGTTCACTGTAAATACTCTAGGTTTCAAATTGCAGATATGACGCCGCAGAGCCACGAAAGCCTACACCTATGACATATTCAGACTCTATTGTTCATTAGGATGAATCAGAACCCGCTGGCATATGGTGCATGGTTATGTGCAACACGTCAGGCTGAGTTCTGCAGCTTTATTCAGAGAATTCACGTGTTGTTGGAGCCGGCTCTTGAACGTCAGGCGCTCACCTTTGTTCTCTGACCTTGCAAATGGCTGACCTACGCCAGAGGGGATTTCTGTTTTTAGTTGCAAAGCAAACATCTTACACGTAGACCCAGCAGCTGCGGCCAAATAAAGCTTCGATCCAAGTAGTTCAACAGGTGCCTGGTTCTCTTTGTGAGTGTGTGTGTGTGTGTGTGTGAGAGTGTGTGTGTGTGTGTGTGTGTGTGTGTGGGTGGGTGTGTGTGTCTGTGACGTAAGGAAGGTGACAATAAAGCAGCTGTGGCGTAATGTTCGCTCCAGTTCTGTTGTTATTTTTCTTTTCTAAAATTAGTTTCTCCAGAGTTTGTGTTTCGTTCGTCTTTTGTGCACTCTTTGTTTGATCCTGCATTCGTCGATAGTCAGGCTGGCAAAAGGTAATCCAAGCTACTGCTAGACCTTGTGAAGAGATGTTAGATGTATTCATTTCATAAAGAATTCTATTTATTTATTTATTAAATGTACAATTAAATAACAAGTCATTGTTTGCATTTATCGTGCGTTCATCTCAGAAATAATTATGTAGGTATTAATGTATTTATTTTCCAGCTTCTGTCACCTGTGGCAGTGTTGTCCCTGTCTGCAGACGGACAGATAGACATGAATGATGTGCTGCAACACAATTACATAAAGACGCTTACTGATTTATGCTTTCAACACATAATTAACACAAATTTTGATCAAATATTTGCACATTCAGTTATTCCATGTTTTAACTCTTAAATAATTATTCATGAATGTTTATGTAATGTTTACATTTCCAATCTATTTTCCCTATTAAAATCACATTTATGAATATTTATTTAATCATCAATTGATGTTTTGAAATTTAAGTTTTTTCACCTAAAAGAAAAGAACTGCCCAGAACAGTGAGATATGTATTCATATCATAATAAGTACAGCTCCTACTTAAATGTTTGCCAAGTTCATTTTTAAATTGTGTTTTGTAATTTAATTGTACATTTAAATGTATTATTGTTCCAATATTATTTAAATGATCATATGTAAATATTTATTTAATAAATTATGAATTTATTTGTTTAATTGTGTCACTTTTTACACTAATGAGAAAAAAAACAAAGATTGAACCTTAAAAAAACTAAATTAAATATTCAAAGTATAAACGGCACAAGTGCATATAAATAAACGAGGATATCAGTAAAGGATAAATTATCACAGTAATTTTGATTAAAAAATTAATCTTCCCCAAACGTTGCTTTCTCTGCTACAGGTTTTCCTTCTTGCTTGGACAAAGACTTTGCGCCTCGTCAGTATTTCCAATATGGCGTAGACCTTATATATTGTTGTTGTTTTTTTAAATGATTGGTCCTACGTAATATTATTAATTTCTGAGAAAGTAGACTTTGACTTTTCATTATTTGCAGACCTTAGCGAATAAAGTTGTTTTTTTTTTTTAGGTTTCACGTTTTAAACTAAATTCCTAAAATAAACGTTTTGATGATATTCTCATGTATTGAGATACACCTGTTATCCAAAACAATCACATCTTTGACAGGGCGTCCATCCATCCACGGTGAAGGTTACGTGTGACCTCGTGCTGTTTCTCATCAGCCAATCAGTGGGAGGAAGAGTTCCCGACCTTCCAGTCGCACTGTTTGAAACGTGGTGTGTGTGTGTGTGTGTGTGGCCCGCAAACAGGTTTCTAGACATGTCTGTTCGGGTTTCAGCCTAAAAGCTCTGACTGAGTGAGTTGTCATCGAGAGGCACCTGTTCGTCACTGCGCCAGGTGAAACATTATTTAAAACCACGATGTCGCTGTTTTCGACTCTATTCAGAGTAAAACAAAAGTGTTTCTAAGTTTTTTTTTTCTTTTTGCGCATTCCCTCATTGAAAGAATCGTCGTACTTTCAGTCTCGTGCCTTTTTTTTTTTTTTTTTTTTTTTTTTTTCGCATGACTGAAGTGAAAATCGGGGCAGCGAGTTTGTGCATTGTTTCCATGAGCAGAGCATTGAGCCGGAATGACTTGATTTTATAAAACAGCAATTTTACACATAACACAGTAGGCTGCAGCTAAACAAAGAGGAGGCCTTTAGCACAGACTCATGCGCAGGGCATCATCCACCCACTGACTCAGAGAACAATCAGCCCTCAGAGATAAATGCCAGGTTCTCCTCCTCCACGCGTTCATTTCTGCGTGAATGCTGTGGTTGGAGACACGCAGCCCCGAACGTGGACAGACAAGCAAAAGGAACCGGGATAGAGTTAAGTAAATGCATGTTTCCTGTGTTTTTCTATAGCTGCCATCTTTTGTGCTCAGATTTATTTATTTATTTATTTTATTTTTGTAATTATGAACCTTATGAAAGACCTCAATGTTATTTATGCATTATATCTGCAATAGCTGGTACTGAAAATGATTTTTGATGACTGCCGTAGTACTCAAGAGCTTGGATTAAGTGGCCATTACTTACACTGTTTTTGTAATTAGTGCACAAAAACGGAATATAACCTAATGTATAAATTAGAATATAGTTAAAAAGGTAGTTTATTTGTTTTACCATGTGAAAAAGGGAATTTTATACAGACTCTTTATTGACATGTTTCAGGCATTTATTTATTTTTATTTAGATTCAAATTTACTCTGATACGCCGCAGAATCCACAAAATCTTACCAAGTATGTTTGGTCTAGTTTCTAGTGCAGATATCTTGACACACTTGATATAAGACAAAACTAACTTACAAGTAACCTTTTATCAAAATGTAGGAGCTTATTTTAAGTAAATAAATCCTTAATATTGATGAAGAAGTACTAGTTCCATTGGGAGATTATTTCACTTGCATAACCAGGCAAAACTGCCTTGTTATAAGTGATATAATATAAAATGGCTCTCTGGTTGGTGAGCAGTGATGGGTTCCTATGATTTTAGGCTGACATTTCAGACGTTGGCTCATTCACTTATATGTTTTCCACCTAAGAGCAGATCATAGTTAAATATGTGGCTGTTTTTAAATACCTGCAGACTCTAATCACTCTGACTGGCTGAAATAAGATGAGTACACCCGTTTTCACGCTTTCCTCCCAAACACAGATGAGGCAGCAGGTGTGGGAGATCTCTCATGAGAGGTGTGTGGGCCTGTGAGCGTGACCGACTCAAACCGGGAAATGAGGACCACTCTTCCTTTGTGCAGAGGCGATGATGAAGCCTGTGGTCATCAGCGAAGCCTCAGCAGGGTGGGCTGGATGAAGAGGCTGCTGTGGCTCAGGTCCAATCGCTGCGGGGGCATCCACATGGACACGGAGCCCGGAGTGTGGCTCAGGAGCTTCCAGCTGCTGGACACGG